CTGTTTCGTCGGACTCTCACCGATTCATCAGGAGTTTGTTTGCGTGTGCGTGAGAGAGAGAGAGGGGGGGGGGGAATGGGGGAGGGAGGAAAAGAGGTCCTAAAGACACAACACTGACAACATGCAGGAGGGCTTTACGTAAGATGTATTGTAATGGACGTTGGAAAGAGGGCTCGTTTTCAAGCAGGTACAGGTCCCTACAATAGATTGGAGCCATAAAAAGAGCAGTTGTAGCGGACCTCGGGTTGGCCTGTGAGACCAGCCCCTTGGCCTGTTCTCACAGGCCTGTGTTGTATTCGGGGTAGGCCAGTCCAGGCCGGTACCTCTGTCGGTACCAGCCAGTCCAGTCCAGTCCTGTCAGTCGGCTGGGGTATACCCCAGCCATTGTCTGTTTTCAGTCTCATTCTTCACTTGCACATTTTGGAGTACGTGCTTTGGAGTCTTGCGTGGGGAGCTGCGTTGTGCCATCTCGCTCCCCCCCCTTCTTCCTCCATATCCATCTCTGTGTCACTAGCGGAGCACCACACCTGGTGGGTCCGCTACATTGGTATCGGAGCGGGAACGGTCCCCATATACAACTCCTTCCTACCTTCTTCCTACTCCCGCGGTTGCTGCGACCTCTTCTACCGCAGCACCCTCGCAACCTGCCGCTGTTGCCACCGCCGCTCCCCCATGCGGCCCGGGCGCACAGTCGGCTGCGCCCCTTTCCCCAGGACCTGCGCCGACTTACTCAGCCGTGTCACAGGCCTCCGCTCCTCGATCCCCTCGCCGCCAAAACGGTGGCGCACCACTCATCCGCTTGTCGGACATCGCCTTGTATGATGGTACAGGCATACGCGTGTCTCGGTAGCTGCAGTCTGCCACCCGCACACTCCAGCTCATGGGCGCCACACCCGAGACGTGGGTGGGTCACCTCTCCACGCGCCTGTGTGGCGGTCCTTTCGAGGCCAGGGAGGATTTCTGTGCCTACTCCCTTCGTGAGGATCGGACTCCGACCTTCGTGGATTTCCAGGCGTTCCTCGAGGATCGCTTCGGAGCCCGATACGACGTGACTGACGCCTTCGAGCGTGTCGTCACTACACGCTGGTCCGGCTCTGGTGGCGCTGCCGGCCTGGATCGCCACATCCAGGTCTTTCAGGACGCCCGCCTCGTTTGCGACGTGGCGTTCCTCGCCGAGGCTCCCCTTATCGATCGTTTCTTGGTCAGCCTTCCGCTCGAGTACCGCTCCGAGCTATGACGATACGAATTTAACTCGGCCCCACAGGCTTACGAGGCCGCCAGGGACCATCAGCGGATGCGAGCCCATCTTCACCCCGCCTCCTCCTCCCAGCCCCAGCGCATGGGCTACGCCTCCTCCTCCTCTCACGGCACTTCCCCGCGCCGTTCCCCTTCCGCGGTCGCCCCCGCCGTTCCACGCAGCAGGGCCGCCACTTCTCGCGCCGCTTCAGCGCGCTGGAGTATGGTGAGCAGGACGTTGTTGCCCCACTGTCACCTGAGAGCGACCACAGCGATGACCTCGATCTCTGCGAGGCCGTCCACTATCACTTGGAGGACTCTACCCTCCCTACAGTTGAGCGCCTTCAGCTCGCGCTCTCCGCCCTCTCTCAGACACGCAGCCGCCCCGGTCACGCTGGCACGTCCCCCCACGAGGTCCCTCAGGAGGACCTCCCTCAGGGCTTCGTCCCTCCTCGTGGTGTCCTTTCCCCTGAGAAGTGCGCGGCTATTCTAGGCCGGCGTGGGTGTTTGCGCTGCCGCTTGGACGGTCATACCTCCTCGCAGTGCCCTTACACTGCCGCCCTCGACCGCCACTACGCTAACCTTTCTCGTCAGCGTCGTGCTCAGTCCCCCCCCGGCGCCTCACGTCCCCGCGGCGCCTCCTAGCCACGGTGCAGTGTACACCTGCGCCCTCCTCAGTAGTGGGTTTCTCGACATCTCTGTCGCGGTTCGCCCCTCTTGCTACTGGAGTTGAGGTATCGCAGGACTCGACAAAGTGTACTCAGCCCTCTGTCGCAGTACCGTCTGCGTCCCCGCAGACCACCGTCTCCCCTCCTTCCCCGACGCGACTACCGACGCGTCGAGCCATTCGCTCAGCCCGTTGCAGCGAGCAGCTTGCTACTCGCGAGGACGTTGTGTCCTTTCTTCTGGACTTGAGCATGCTCCAGGCTCGTCAGGAGCGACTCACCCTCYATGTCGCTGCACTGCGTCGCCTTCTCGCCATCTTCTCTGACCCTGATCGCACCCTCCCGATAATCCCAGTACGACTCGGGACCTCCACGAGGGTGTACTCAGCGCTGTGGGATTCCGGTTCTCAGGGCGACTTCATTCACCCACGCGTGGTGAAGGAAGCCCGCTTTCCCACGATTGGGTCTCCGACTCCCATCTCCGTTACCCTAGGGGATGACAAGACCCAACGCTTCTTCGATCAGACAGTCACCGACCTCCCCTTCTTCCTCACTCTCGAGCCGATTGATCATTCCCCGGCGTCTCGTCGCCACCGCTCCTCTGCACATTTCGATGTGATGGAGACGGGGTACAACTTCATTCTCGGCACTCCGTGGTCTCGTCGGTTCCACAGCACCGAGGCCGATTGGGCGACCAACACTCTCGTTCTCAAAACGAAGTGTGGACAGACGTATCGCGTACCTTTCATAGGTACCACGGCGATACCACGCCCCGATCCTCCTCCCCCGGAGCCGCCAGTGCCCACACCATCCCCCTCTATCACTGTCACCTCGCCTCGGCAGTTCGCTCACTTCATTCGACAGGACGACGTCATCTTCTTTATGGTGGACGTGACGGATCTCTTACATTATGATCCACCCTCTCCCGACGCCTAGCTCATCCCTCTGGAGCCAGATCCTCCCTCTATCTCCATGGCTCCCATCTCTACTTCCGTCCCTCCGCCGTCCGTCCAGTCCACCCCGCCGTCAGGCGCTGACGCTGACGCTGAGGAACTCGCACGATATACGGCTGACCTGGAGCCCGCAGTTCGTGACCTCATCCGAGAGTACCACGACGTTTTCCCATCGTCGTTCTCGTACGCCGGCATCCCACCGATGCGTGACGTCGAGCACTCCATTCAGCTTGTGCCTGACTATCGTGTTCACCACCAGGCACCCTACAAACTCTCGATTCCCGAGGCCACCGAACTCAAGCGTCAGCTTGAGGAGCTCCTGAGACTGGGTTTCATTAAACCCAGCAACTCCTCGTGGGGTGCACCCGTCCTCTTTGCTCGCAAAGCGGATGGAACTCTCTGTCTCTGCATCGACTATCGCGATCTTAACCGCCACACGGTTAAGAACAACTAGCCCATGTCTCGTTCCGATGAGCTGTTCAACCGCCTAGCAGGCAACCGCTTCTTTACAAAGATTGATCTTCGTAGCGGTTACCATCAGATCCGCGTCGCTGCAGCCGACCAGCCAAAGACAGCGTTCCGATCGCGCTTCGGCCACTACGAGTTTACGGTGATGTCATTCGGCCTCACCAATGTACCCGCCACCTTCCAGAGGGCGATGAACGACATCTTCAGGGACATCCTGGAGCAGCACGTTCTCGTCAACCTCGACGATATCCTGGTCTACAGTCGTCCCCTTGAGGAGCACCTCAGACACCTCAGCGACGTCCTTGACCGCTTGCGCAGACATGGCTTCTACGCCAAGCTGAGCAAGTTCCGCTTTGCCCAGCACAAAGTGGATTTCTTAGGACACTACGTGTCTGACCAGGGTCTCCACATGGATGACGCGAAGATCACTGCTATTGCGGAGTGGCCCGCCCCCACATCCGCCAAGCAGCTTCGCAGCTTCCTTGGCCTGACCAGCTACTATAGTAACTTCATCCGGGGATACGCTAGGTATTCCTACGTCCTTACCTCCACCCTCCTTCGGAAGAACC